ACTAAAACAATAATATTAATTTGTATGTATTTTATTTACATATACCATTAACAGTTACCGATGTGTGTGTTTTGGCTTCCACACAGTTGCTATGATTGCTGGGAACTGGTCAGACATCTTCAGCGTGTTCGTAGACCCAAAGGCCTTGTAACTGGAAATAATAACAAACAAACTCGCAGACGATGCCCAAGGCCTTCGCCCGCGTCCTCGAGTTTGTTTATTATTATTATTTTTTATTATTAATATTATCATTATTATTAGTTACAATGTCCTGTTTTAGACCATACCTGTCTACTGCCTATCTTATGGTTAAAGCGTTCGCTCGTCACGCCGAAGACACAGGTTCGATTCTCCACATGGGTACAATGTGAAGTCAATTTCTGGTGTCCCCCGCCGTGATATTGCTGGAATATTGCTAAAAGCGGCATAAAACCATACTCACTCACTCACTCACTCTAATTGCGCTAACTGTTACAAGAACACATTTTCCCCACTTTAGATAACAAATTCTGATGTATATGAATACTAGTTGCTCCATGACATGATTTTTATCCTTTATAGTCAAGACCTCGAGTCTGACTAACCAAAAGAAATTACTTCGCTTGCCGCTTAATTGTTTTTCACCGCCATTTCTCGCATGCTGTTTTTTTTCGGAAAAGGTGTTGTCAATTTACTACGATCGGCTTTTGACGGATACAGCCGAAGTTATTCCTCTGCATTTGACCGAGGCTCCCACAGCGCCTGTGCGTATTCCGCTTCAAATCCGATAGTGTTTCTTTTCGTTCGGATTAGTGCATTCGGTTCCAGTGCGGAAGCTAAACTACCAATACGCATTCATTTTACACCCATTCAACGCTTTTTATTTAAATAGATAGGAGGGGGCACGGGTGGCCCAGTCGTCTAAGGCGCCGCGATTCGCTGTGCAGAGTTGCGTCCCTTGGGGACGCCAGAAACATATGGTTGTGGGTTCGAATCCCGGTTCGGCTCGATTATTCTTCTAGGTTTGTCAGCACCATAACCGTGCTCGTGGGTTTCACCGAAGTGATAAACGTCTGAGACCTGCATCACTTCGGGCTTTCCTTCCATATTAAGCTGACACGACGTGATATGAATGGAATACTGTTAAAAGCCACGTTAAAACCCAACTCACTCACTAAATAGATATGGCTGTCCTCACCTAAACCGAAACCTTCATCTGACGTCGATATCATGCGTTATTACCGCTTTGCTGTGTTAAATATTCAGAAAATATCTGGCCTAACGCACAAAAGTTACCTGTCCAGTTGGAAAGTTGCCAGTCCAGATTTTAACAAGTTTCTATTCATGTAGTTTAAATACCACCACACCAAAGGACAGTATTTCTCTAATTTATGCAAGCTAGGAAATGAACGTCTAATCCGAGGTCCATATATCCAACGTTTGACATGTACGTATCATTTGGCCACCAAATGTACATACATCACGCAGGTCATGAAATAAAAGAGCATACAAGTGACTATGAACATATACTGGTGGGAATGAATAAGGAAACTTAGGTTCAGACACAGTAACATGATATGCTATCATAGGTTTCCAGCCCTGTCTACCAAATGCACGTTGGGAAAAATGAACACAAACACATCTCAACATTTGATTCTGACATGTGTTGAATTTGTTGGCGCGCTATTTCAAATGTACTGACAGTAAAGCTTATTTCCATCTAATTTTCATTGTTCCTTATTCGTTTCCATCAGTGTTTATGAAAGAGATGTTGAAATAGAGTAATCGTTCTTATGTATTTTCTAACTTGTGCAGTAATCGTAAATGCTGTTCATATGTGACGCAGATTTTATTACCCCTGAGATCGTGTATGTCAAAGTTGGTTGGTTGTTTAACGCAGCACTCAGCAATATTCCAGCTATATGACGGCAGTCTGTAATTAATCGAGTCTGGATAAGACAATCCAGTGACTGATATCATGAGGATCGATCCACGCAATTGGGATCGATGACATGCATCAACCAAGTCAGCGAGCCTGACCACCCGATCCCGTTAGTCGCCTCTTACGACAAACATAGTCGCCTTTTACGGCAAGCATGGGTTGCTGACGACCTATTCTACCTCGGATCGTCACAGGTCGTATGTCATGGTATAGATTTTTTCTATGCTTCATACGGTCCTAAATGTTCGGTCATAGGTAAATAGAGGTTTACCATATTGACAAAACTTAGCATTTATTTCAGTGGTTCGGTAATAAAACTTACATTATATTGACAACATTAGCTCGTTGGTGTGCAGCAACCACGTCAGTGACGTATTGAAGTAATTGGTCACATATGGCGTGATCCACTTAGACTGACGTTTTAGTCCCAGAAATAAAGTTATCTTATATAAAAATATATATCTGCAAAATAAACACACACAAATCCAAATGAAGCCCAGACCAATCGTTAATTTAAGGGACCAACCAAATCTGCAAAGCTCTTATTTGTTGGAAGTTCTGTAATCTTGTCAATGTCAACCTCCCTTTCTGTTCACATGCCACTGCTACTGTTGCTTTTCTTGTTTTCCAGCTCTTTAAGTCTATATGATGCAATTTCAAATGTTAGTGACTGATACAAACAAGCCAGAATCTCGCCTGTGAGCCCTGCAGATTTGGACAGACCCTAGAGCTGAGGCAATCTAGACTTGCCAAATCATTCTTGATTTGAGTTGGACCCCTTTTTCAATTTTATTCTCTAGGATTTGGGTGAGGGACTTAGACCCACTTTGATGTGCACTGACCGTTACCACCGAACTTTGACGTTTCCTGTGTACGCTGTGTATGTGTTAACTTCATCGACATTAAATTACAACAGGTTTACACTTGTATAGAGTAAAGGTTGTGAGTATGACAAAACAATCAAAACGTGTGGGCGCATGGGGATTCTATTGTGAACATTTCTATATAATCAAATGCCTATTCAGTTGCGTTATGAACAGATATGTTTACGTCTTAAGGAAATGATTCATATAAGTATGTTTCCATGAACATGCATATACACCTAGACCCGACATCCGCTTCCCCCAGAATACTAAGTCGTATTCTATTCCTAAGGGTTATCAAACTTGAATAATATATCATGAGATATATTAACAAAGAAGTTTCAGAATAGGGACGGGAAAAGTTGCATACAAACTTCATACCCACAAAATCATTCACAGAGCGCATTTGGATATCTTAGACAGTGTGTAGCTTCATAAACTGTGAATAAACAGACCCATGCCAGATAGCTTTGCCTACCATGCATGACTCATTCTTATGGGATGTGTGAACATTACGGGGAAATGCGCCCTAGTAAATACAGAAATTGCTACAATTGCTATGATGAGCTTAATAGTCCATTTAGAATCAATGGGAATCAATGTAGACACCAAAGGCTGGAGCTGCAGGAATATTTACTCGACATAAAGGGAAAGTTGAAGTCATCCCTCTTGTCATACAGTCTTGTGGAGATTTTTTTGTCACTCTGAATCTTTATGCACAGATCGAAATATGAAACAGATGAAGCGGCCTCACTGGTCTCCTTTATTTCAAGTGGAAGGGAGTGGGCTTTCTGATTGTTATTGAACGTTATCAGATCATCAATCTACCTGAAGGTTAAATAAAGCTTCTTGGTCAGATTACCTTGTTTTGACTTTGCCAATCCGAGCAGAAATTCTGATTCATGTGCAAAAAAACCCCAGATCAGCAAGAAGGGGAGCGCAATTGGTGCCTATGGGAATGCCCACTTCTTGCCTAAATGTCTTACCCCTAAATTTTACATAAATGTTATCGATGGGGTAGTAAAGCATTTCACATATTGTTTTCTCAGTAAAATTCAGACGGCATTTGCGTTCATTTTTGACCGACTTCTATAGTGCTTTAAGGACCGACCATGTGATATGGTCCCTAACAATAATGCATGTGCACTGTATGTACAGTTGTGTGTGTGATGTGCTTGTTTGATATCTTATTTGGCATTGTACAAGATGTTAATGTATTGATATTTCGTAAGATGTGCCGGAAAATATGATCTTAATAAACTCCCCAGACCTCCTGATTAGGGGCATGTTTAAGTTAAATAAGCAAATGACATTTTTATCACCATAACACATATAAGCTTGAGTTGCTTGGGCACAACAATGCACTAAGAAATTAGATAACCCAAAATTACAAGAGGTATTAACAACACTGTGCGTAAGCCCAATGTAGCTTTGTCAGCTTGCGTACACAAATGTTTTACAGATCGTTTCCGACTGACTTAATACAAGAACTTGACTACAGTGCATGATGCACATATGTGCAACATCTCACTTTCTTCATCAGACACGTGCCACTGTTATGAACTTATGTGACGAACTTGGGAAGAACACAAACACATGCTAATTAGAAGTTGATACCTAAAACAGCATAGCAATATACTATTTTCCAAAAAGATCCACGCATCAGTTTGCAAAACCCAATAGACTGGATGAGAATAATACTATACTGAACATCCTAAAACTATCAATACCCAATGTGAATGGTATCAGGAGGGGTAGCCTAGTAGTTAAAGCGTTCGCTCGTCATGCCGGAGAACCGGGTTCGATTCCCGACATGGATACAATGTGTGAAGCCCATTTCTAGTGTCCCCTGCCATGCTATTGCTGAAATATTGCTTAAAGCGGCGTAAAACCATACTCACTCACTAACACCTGAGGAAACGCTCAATGGCTCAAATATTTATCTGGTGCACCTTCAAAGGAAATAACGGGAATACTTCATATCGGGAAACATACGCAAATCCGGTCATTGCATTCATTTCCAACTGTATTTGCATTTGTTTCATAGTTATGAAATCTGGCTTTTGGTCCCGTGTATAAAGTTTGAAAAATAAACACGACCGTCGGATGTGCATTATCTAAAAGTTAACGCCCTCAGTTTCCGATCGTATTATCTCAGTTATCCAACCTTGAACAGCTTTTCTGGGAACAAATACGCATTTCTTCTATCTGAACAGATCCCGAAGCCGGCAAGGTTCCGACGGCATCGAGAATATGAACAACACCGAAGATATTAACGACTGACAGTAGAGTTCAAATTGCTGGGTAAGTCATTAATCTAACTGTCAATAATGCAGCGTAGATGAAATAGGAATACTCAGTTTGATAGAAGATAGCGAAGTATGAATGTAATACACACTTACAAGGTCATAACAGATCCGGAACAAATCATGATTGACTCAGTGAAACCGTTAGGGTCATCCCAGGTCCCCGTAGTCCCCTTTCACGATGACATTATAACATTTCATATATTACATAATTATATATCATCTCAATTATGTCAGTTTTTCTTTTTGAAGTGTATCATTTCACAACTAGGTGGCTGATGTTCACGTACAAAATGTCACATACTAAAGTAACCTTTAAGACATATCAGGATTTGACACGGCCCCGACCTTGACGGGACGGCGCTGTCAAATCTTCAGGGGTCGTCTCGAGAGTTCACGAGTCCATTTAATTAAGTATCTTACATCAACTTATGTATATAAGATGTCGTCACAATCATATTCACACTCTTGACACCCCCCCCCCCCCCCCCCCCCCCCCCATCCCTCCTCTCTCTCTATTAGGGATGTGAGAGAAGTCAGGTATGTTCTTTGAACACTAGTAATTTTCTCAGACTTTTCATTTAAGGCAACACTTCTGTTTCAACCCAACTCCCTTAGTTAAATGAACTGTTGTGTACTCGTGTGACAATTTACATCGAAACGTCGCTAAATGCAATAAACCAGACGTTCGTATATTTTTTGAAGGTATACAGCGACAGCCTATAGGTGCACCTGGCATAGCCCATGTAGTCGGCTCACAGCGCCGGGATCCTGTCACTCGGATGTTGTCAAGCCATTGTTTAACACGGGTCCTCACGAGACTGTGTGAGTGATGTTTCGCACTGCGGTATGTCGTTTAAATAGCTTCTCCATTTCTGCATGTCATTGTGTCTTTTATCGCTAATATTCGTTGAAAGGATTGGTTGACTTGTTTGGTCTTCTGTTTTCTGATAGGTAATGTATTACGCTTGCATATGCTTGCTTCAGAAGACTTTTTTGATAACCATATGCTACTCCCTTCTCGTCTAATATGCGATTACCTCCCTTACATACTGATAAATGAAACTAGGTCAAGCCGCATTCCGCTTGTTGTAAACCGAAACCGACTCCCTCTCATTTTCGCAGTTAACTTTAACTTTCTAACAAATATCATGCATTTCCGGGTTTAAATAAAACTAAAACTGATTATATTAAACACTCATAAATTATCGAGAATTTTAAGAACTACTAGACCAAATGAGACATGTCATATACAATTAATGGTTGAAAAAAAATAGAATATTAATGCATATACATCCTATTCAATTATCCATAAGTAACAGAAAACTTTTACAATTAGAAAAAAGAATGTTATGTCAACATTTAGAAAAAAAAGATAATTGTGATTTTTTTAGTGGAGGAGGATTGATACCAACCATAACAAATGTAGTGCTTGTTTCTACAAGAGCGATACTCATTGTTTCATACATTGTTTTGAAAATGAATGATAAAAAGATAAATATACAGTTTATCATCAAATGAAACTCAATTTGTGTAGAAACAATTTTTATCTCTCATCGGTATGAAAAGACAATTTGCGTTGTGTCGAGATATGCACGTGTAAACAAGTAAGGATAAGATATATGGATGAACAACTTCTGTATTACAATTAGGTGCGACCTTTCGGTGTAGGTTCTAACACCGTTATCAAGCAAGTGATGTACAGAGTATGACAGACAGTCAGACAGACAGACAGACAGACATGTATTATTGCATTTCAGGCCACATGACCAAAGTACAAATAGTATTACACATAATTTTAAAGTTACCACTACTCTCATATTGACTTATATTATGCATATAAATATTTATGGGGTTTATCAAATGAAAATACATTCGAGAAACTTAGTAAATGGAACTAAAATATTCATATCTTTTGAGGTACACAAACTTTTAAGTGAGTAGTACTGGTTATTTGTTAGTCATGGTAGTAAATCCTTACGCTTATCTTCATAGAACATGCATACATATACAACATGTGCTTCATCTTCAACTGATCCACAATGTTTACAGAAAATCTTAGGATCACCCAAAAGCAATATTCTTTTTCGGTAATATTGTATACCCAATCCAGATCTGAATTTAGTCCACAATCTTTTCTGTGAATATGATAGCTGCATAGATAAATATAGTTCACAATCTAACAAAGATTTTTGCGTTTTGTAAAATGACAATGCAGAGGAATCTAAAGACGAGTGCCATTCTTTGGAGGAACAAGTATACAATCTTTTTTTAAATTAGTTTAAAAATAATTCGGTATCTCCAACATTTTGAGAGATCCATACTATACCACAGCTATATCTAAATAACAAATCTCGTATATGTGTTGCTCAATTTGGACGTTTTCTATCGATAATAGATAATAGTGATAAATAGCATTGATATGGATACCTATCTACATTCATTTGCAATAATCTTATCCAGTATTTGATACATTTAACACTATAAACATTATAAAGAGGAACTCGCCCACACTCTCCATAGGCAACAGCATAAGGGGAACTTTAACCAATATGTAGCATAAATTTACAACATTTTCTATGAACAAACTCCATACTTTCTACTCTACCATATCCCCAAATTTCTGCAGCATAAGACAGAATTGGTACAATTTTTTATCAAACAAACAAAAAGATTCATTCAGAGACAATTCAAAACGCCGGATAAAATAAAGGCCACAAGGCCTTATGAGCTTGTTCAGACAAAGTTTTACATGCTCTCGTCCATACAAGTTTAGGAGTTATCATAAGACCTAGATATTTATACATATTGACAGTTTCCATTCGCATACCATTATAATACCATTTGTCAAATTTACATAATCTTCCACCCATCTTAATTACAATGATTCTACTTTTTTTCATCATTTATTTCCATACCCGAATTTCTGGGAGTAGGACTGTAGAGCATCCAGACGCCTCTGCAATTTTATAACACTATCAGCAATTAATACAAGATCTTTTTAAGATCATCTACAAACAGTAAAGCTATTATATTTAACATACATTCTGACAAAAAAATACCATAGGTAAACTTATTTTCTAAACTAACAACTAATTCATTAATAAATATAGAAAACAACACTGGGCTAAGTGTGCAACCTTGTCTAACACCATATGTACTTTCAAAATATGGACTTAGTTTGGTACAATAATTAAAAGTTGCGTTAACATTTTTATACATACTTTTCAAAACATTAAAAAGTTGCCATGTATACCATATTTGAGGAGAATGAACAACAATTTCTGTCTATTTACCATATCGAACGCTTTTTCGAAAATCAATGAAAGCACAATACACTTTACCATTTTTTCTAGAAATATATTTTTGAATTATAGATTGGAGAATGAAAATACTATCGATTGTTGAGTGGTGCTTCTTGAATCCTCCCTGATATTCACGAGTGATTTCATCCACGTCAAGATAGAACTCAAGTCTTTTGTTTCGGATATATGCAAATATTTTATCAACAACGTCCAACAGAGGAATCCCCCGAAAATTATTCGGATCATTTTTAGGGCCTTTCGTATACAAGGGTAATATAATAACAGTGCTCCATGATTCGGAATGCAGAATTTTGTTAAACAATTTTACCAGGTAAGGCGTTGTAAGTTCTTTTGCAAATTTAAAGAATTCTGAAGGTATGCCGTCATTACCCGGTGATTTATCATTATTTAGACGTCTAATTGCATTCACTACATCTTGTTCGGTGAAATCATCCGATAGTAAGTCATCCTGAGAAAGACGCTTATCACAAAGAGAATCATCATTGTTGCTTAAATAGTCTTGTATGTTTTTGGAGAAGTCTTTATCTGCAGATACAGTTGGGTTAAGAGGTTTTTAAAATAATCAGCCCATGTTGATGAATCGATATTCGGTTCTGGTGATCGCGTCACCAGATATTTCTTAACTAATATCCAGAATCGAGAACAGTAACTATGACTAGCTGCTTCATGAATATCTACGATGACACCATTATTATATTGATTCTGTTTAAGTTTACAGATTCTCCTAAAGTCCTTTCTAACTTCTCTATATCTTTCATAATTATTAGTGGATGAATTACTTCGGAATATGTTAAGTGGTTTATATTTTCTTCTCGTAAGGTTTTCACATTCGTCGTCGAACCACTCAGGTTGTTTGTATTTAGTTTTGTTATAACATCTTTGCCACCACACGATTGTAATATAAATTGTAATGTTTCCACAGTTTTGTCAATGTCAATATCTAACTCGCTCAAAAAGGGTCGAAAAGTTCTTGCGTGGCCGAAGACTTTAGATTATTTATAAAACAGTCGCTTTGCTTCTATTCCTTTTGAATCTATTTCTATTAACACCTCCGTCAGCTTCCTTAGAATCTGTTTGTTGGGTCTCAAAAATGTTAATTATACATAATGAAGGATGCACATAACGGCAAGTAATCAGACTCTGTGTGAGAAATTATAATAAAGTCTTGCACGTTTACAAAAAGGGAAGCCGATACTGCAATATAGTCTGGGGTACTAAAACCTGAGGGTCCTACATATGAAAAGTCTCCTTTATCAGAAAATCTTCCGTTTAACAGATAAAAACTAAATGATTTACACAAATCTAAAAGTTCTTTTCCATAATTGTTGATAACTGAATCTTTGTTTTTACGGCCTGGATATAACGGGGGTGCATCGACTCTGTCCTTATTCCACATCATCAAGAGGAAGATAGTCAAAGTTGTCAAAATATATAAAACCAGCCTCCACGCCTGTCCGACCATTAAAGTCTCCACAAAGGATAAATTCACTGTTTGGATATTCATCTTTTAAAATAGCTAATATAATGTAGTATATCATTTTCAATAATTCCTATGCCATCATTCTTGTACTTATTTTCTGGTTTGACATAAACACACCCTATGATTATTCTTTTACAAACATTAAATGGAACTTTAGAAGTTACAAAAACATCAGTGCATTCATGATGGATTTGCTGAAATAGTGAGAAAATATTATTTTTCAAATAAATGGCGACACCTCCGCAGAATCTACCAACAGCCTTTTCACAGAGTACATGGTTGACAAGTATATATACAGGATAGGAAGCAGTTAAACCTACTCAACTGTATAAACACGGCCTCCTATCCTGTATATATACTTAAAAATTGACAACCATACTCTGTACTTCACTTGCTTGATAACCTACACCGAAACGTCGCTCCTAATTGTATTAAAGAAGTTGTTCATCCATATATCTTATCCTTACTTAGTACTCCAACTTCTAAATGCCTCTCAAGGAAGTCACATGTAAACAAGTTTTATTAAATATCCATACCAGTATTTAGCATATTATCAAACAAATTGGTGGATTTTGTTTTGAATTATATGCATGTTTCAGAAAATCAGTGTTACTTTGACTATCTAAGTTCAGAACCTGTTTGAATGGAACCAAATAACTAAAATATTAACTTGTCTATGAAAGATTTCTTATGACAGTGAAAATATTAGCAGTGAATGAAGTTGATTCTTTTTGTTTGCATATGAATATTCTGAAATACGTTATCTCAAATCCTTTAATACATAAGGTCACCAACATTCCAACAGTTAATATTTGTGTATAATGTTCAATTAACAACAACCATTAAAGTCGCTTGTCAATAAATATGTATCAGTTGGTGCTGTGCTCTTGTCAGGCAGGATCAACCTCATAATATTTCACTAGTGGTTATGATATGCACAGTCCGGATCGAGACCCATCAACTTGAAATATTACACCAGTGACGTGTGTGGTCATATTGCGCTAGACTCCATAACAAGATGCATGCTTAAAGCACTGACACTCTTTCACTGATTAATAGGTAAGTGTGCCCGCGATTTTCATTTCCGCTCCATGGGGAGTATACAACCCAAGCTGCCTAGTGAGGCGCTAGAGGTTTAACAGTCACAATACCATCTAATACTGCCGGGTACCCAATTCACTGGTTAGTGAACAGGCATGTTTCGAACAGGTGTTTCAATGTGGACCATTTCTGGAGTGTAATAATAAAACATAGGACATCCATGTATCCCAGTGCTAAGGAAACGTGACATCTGAAGCGACCCGTGAAGATCGGGGGTAGAATAGGTCGTCAGCAACCCATGCTTGCCGTAAAAGGCGACTATGCTAGTCGTAAGAGGCGACTAACGGGATCGGGTGGTCAGGCTCGCTGACTTGATTGATGCATGTCATCGTATCCAAATCGCGTGGATCGATGCTCATGATGTCAATCACTTGATGGTCTGGTCCAAACTCGAACTCGAGTTCGGCGTTAAACGACACACACGCACGCACGCACGCACGCATGCACAAACGCACGCACGCACGCACGCACGCACGCACACACATAGGACATCCGTGTATCCCAATGCTAAGGTAACATGACATCTGAGGCTAAACAAAGGACAATGGTGGCCGACTCATTAGAGGCGCTGCAATCTGCTGTGCGGAGTTGCGTCCCCTAGGAAAAACTATGGTCGTGCGGTCGAATCCCATGCTCGGTCTGGTTATGATTCTAGGATCGTCAGCTTCATACGGCCAGTGGTTTCCATGAAGGGGTATCACTGCGGGCATTCCTCCATTAAGCTGACACGCCGTTTTACAACTGGAATACCGGTCAAGACAAAGCGACTTTAAACCGAACTTACTCTGTTTTCAAGGTTGATGTCGTAATGATCAAGATGCGTCGCCGAGAAACAAAAATCTGCCTGGTGTGTTCCTTAGTCGTCCTCATCGGCTTGCTGCTGCTGCTGCGGAACAACATCAGTCCCAGTTTGCCTATGGGGATGATTAAAAAAACGGTAAGATTCAAATTCAAGACACTCATTAATGTCACTAAAAATTGAAATACTATCATATTTCATTAAAAGCTTTTACCTTTTGTTTTGATTGTTTTTACTTTTGGTTTTAAAAGGAGCAGAGGCGGTCGGGTAGTCTAGTGGTTAAAGCGTCCGCTCGTCTCGTCGATGACCCGGGTTGTATTCCCGACATGGGTACAATGTGTGAAGCCCATTTCTGGTGTTTCCAGCCGTTATATTGCTGGAATATTGCTAAAAGCGATGCAAAACCATACTAACTCACTCACTTTTAAAGGAGCAGTCCACGCTTGGATTCCACGGAATGATAGACGCATATGGCGACAATGCTAGTCGTAAGAGGGGACTAACGGGATCGGGTGGTTAGCTCACTGACTTGGTTGATGAATTTGATGAATGGTATCGTATACCAGTTGCGAGGATCGATGCTCAGATGTGAATCACTGGATTGTCTGGTCTAGACTCGATTATTTACAGACCGCCGTCATATAGCTGGAATATTGCTGAGTGCGGCGTTAAACAACAAACAATCAATCTTCCTAGTCCAATATCGTCACTCTACGACAATCATTCGCGGCTGGTCACATTTTTGTGTGATCATATTTCTATGTATTCATTTTGAAGAGTGAGTGAGTGAGTTGGGTTTAACGCATCTTCCCGAGGCAAGTGAGTTAACTGACTATAAAAGTCCAGTTTCCACCCTTGCCGAACTAGGCTGGTATTATGGAGTTTCGTTTTGGCTGGACTAACGAGTCTATGCATAGTCCAATCACAATCGCGCAACAAAATCGAAATCCGGTTCGAAAACTGTCGTGCAGATTTCGGTCGATTGCAGGATTTGCAAAGCATTTGCACCGCCAACTCGTTGTCAACAGATATTTTCCAAATCTTTTCATGTTTTTAATCAAGGTGCTCACGTGATTTGATGCATATTTCGATGTAAGACCCGTTTTATCACAATATAGATCTTGATTATCCATCTGATCCTCTTGACTGGGCGCCGCCATCTAGTTTGAAGCAAATGCATGAGATACGAGAGGTGGAATCTGATTGGTCCATAGGAGAGGCATAGAAGGGACATAACTCATAATAGCCACTGGTGGCGCTACGATCGAGCCTAGGAATTCCAGCCTAGTTCGGCAAGGGTGGAAACTTGACTTTTAAAGTCAGTTAACTCTCTGGCCTCGTGAAGATCGGTTTAACGCCGCTTTTAACAATATTCCAGTTATATCGCGGCGTGTCAGCTTAATGTGGAAGGAAAGCCCGAAGTGATGCAGGTCTAAGACGTTTACCACTTCGGTGAAACCCACGAGCACGGGTATGGTGCTGACAAACCTAGAAACATAATCGGGGCTAACCGGGATTCGAACCCCACAATGAGTTTCTGGCGTGCCAAAGGGACGCAATTCTGAACAGCGAATCGCGGCGCCTTAGACGACTGGGTCACCCGTGCCCCCTCATCTTGAAGATGAAAGGCTGAATTTGCAAACGGTACGTGGACCATTTATAGATATACAAAGTATCAGATCCTATCGGGTGATGGGTACCATGTATCAAGCCCGTTTAGGGTGTCCCCCGCCGTGATATGGCCGTAATATGGCTGACAGCGCCCAAAAGACCTACTCAGTTACTCTCTCAGATGGTTGTAGTATTGGAAGAAAATCATCTTTATCATTGCAGAGATGAAATCCTCAAGCCTGAGGCCTTTGAAATCACAGAAAAATGAGGTATCCCAAAACAATATGCTTCCTACACCCAACTTGAAAAACCGCCCCATGACAACCTCAGAACCCTATTAGGGGACTGCCTCCGTGGCCTAGTGGACAGAGTGTGTGCCCAGAGAGCGGAAAGTCAGTGGTTCGATGCCATGGTCGTGTCGTACCAAAACACGTTAAAAGATGGTACTTGTTTTTACCCTGCCTGGCGCTCGGTATTACGGGGATAATCAGGGACTGGTCGGCGTTGAGTCAGGAGACTAAGTGTCTAAGTGGGGCATCCATGTTCATCTGTGGCAAGGTATTTCAGTGGGTTAGCACTATAAACCCGTCCTATGTCCGGAGTAGTGCAATAAACTTGAACAAGGCGTTAAGCCCCATTTCACCTCACCTATTAAGGCCTGTCAGCGATCATCGATAATATTGGGGTTGGCCATGACGATAACCTATCCTTAATTTATATGGGTTAACGTTTACGACGATGTAATTTTGTCGTCGACAATGATGCACACTGATGTCCAAGGGACTGGGCGTTGATTATAGAGGGGGGAGGGGGAGGGGAGGGGAGGGGAGGGGGGGTGCGGTGACTATATCAAATTTTGTTGATAACTACCTTTTTCTGTAACAGTTTTTCATGACCCCCCCCCTCCCTCCCCCCCCCAATAAATGCAACATTTTCTTCATGACACCACCCCCCTCCCTACAATATACGACCAGTTCCTCATTAATGTTTGTTCAAATATAAAAGTTTAATATATTATAACTTTTTTTGAGGAAAAAGGAGATGTTTCACTCACTGTCGCATTATTTTTTTTATGATTCCAAGGGATTTGACTTAACGAGATTTTACTGTTAGAGTGAGTGAGTGAGGTTTTGCACCGCTTTTTGCAATATTCCAGCATCATCACACCAGAAATTGGCTTCACACATTGTACTCATGTCGGGAATCGAAACCGGGTGTTTGGCGTGACGAGCGAACGCTTTAACCATTAGGCTACCCGACCGCCCCTACACTGTAAAAGGCCATGTATGTATGTGATGATAGAGACATTTATTATCAAACCATGTACGACTTTATGACTTGCGTAAAATACCTCGGTCGTGTTACAGTTGGGGTATCCTAGCATCCTCTACGACTGTGACACAAACCACACGGACACTGATGGAGCAGTTAGAATCCCCCCTACTCGAGCTTTGGAGAAGATGAACCACCAAGAGTTGTCCTGCCTTTATCACAGGTAGGTGCATTCGTCACCACTCGCCCCTTTCCGTAACCCACAGTAGGACTCGTTCCCCTATCGATGAATGTTATGTGCGAAAATACGACAAACCAATCAGAATGCGCGTTTGACTTAAATTACTTCGGGCAAAGAATCCCCCTGGAATAATTTTTGATTTTACATTTGTATTGCATTTAAAAATATACCCAAGATACATTTAAATGTGTTCAACTGTACAGTGTAATAATGTAGGTTCCAATGTGTTTTCAGTAGCATATATATGAAATATATATGACACGGGGGGAAATATACGTGAATCATTACGCAACGAGATGACAATTATTTTAGCGATGCCCGCTTGCGCTTAGACGGAACCCAGTCGCAAAACGAGTCGCTATTCGGCTTGTCCCGGAATAACACGAGTTGGTCACGAATGAGGAAGTTGATCAGCCGCGCCAGCAGTCATCAGGCGAATTAAAACACATCTGTGACGTCATTCTACTGTTTAAGCGCTCCATAATTTTTAGCGAATGGAGAGTTGATTGTGTTCTCTGCCGCTGTTGCACGTGCTCCGTCGCGAGCTTATCTTTCCAATGCATGTTTTATGACTCTGAGTCTTTAGAATGTTTTGTCAAAGTGTAAGAGTCGAGATGGGTTTGAAGTAGGCGAGTATCCTCGTAAGTCTCCATTCCTTAAAAATAATAGCCCTTGTCTCCATTATGTTAAAGGAATGGAGAGTTACTCGGACATTCCCCGCTACGTCACTGGGGGGCACGGGTGGCCCAGTCGTCTAAGGCGCCGCGATTCGCTGTGCAGAGTTGCGTCCCTTGGACACACCAGAAACCTATGATTGTGGGTTCGAATCCCGGTTGGCCCCGATTATGTTTCTAGGATTGTCAGCACCATACCCGTGCTCGTGGGTTTCACCGAAGTGGTAAACGTCTGAGACCTGCATCACTTCGGGCTTTCTTCCCACATTAAGCTGACACGCCGCGATATAACTGGAATACTGTTAAAAGCGGCGTTAAACCCAACTCACTCACTCACTCTACGTCACTGAGCAGGGAAAATGTGGCCGCGGATAGCATAACGCCCTCATCCGTACTACATTTGTTTTTGAAAGAAAAATGTGGGGGAAGGTACGGCCCTCTGCCCCAGTACCTCCCTTTGGGTCCTCCTATGATCTGCCACTGCTTGGGTCGACGGATCGTCCTGTTAGAAAGGTCTGCCAGTGTACACTGCAGCATTACTACTTTGGTGAAACCCACGAGCACGGGCAAGGTGCTGACAAACTTAGCAACGTAATCGTTGCGAACCGGGATTCGAACCATCAATCATAGGTTTCTGGCGTGCCCAAGGGACTCAACTCTGCACAGCGAATCCCGGCGACTCAGATGACTGGCCACCCATGCCCCTGGTGTTTGAGTGCTGTCTTCATATAATGTTTCTCTATTCCCGCTCTCTGACTGTCGAGAACGCCAGAGTGGATACATGCATTTCTATAAAGCATTCATCATATAAATATTTCGTCAACGAATAAAATAATTTCATTATTATTTGATTTACTTTGGGAAAATTATACCGAGTGGATGTGGATGAAGAACACTTTTATCAGATTTCATTTATTAATGAGAGAAATTGGGTGTGTCTCGTCAGGTCATTTATTGGTTTCATATTAACAACAACTATTTTGAACTGATTGATCTATTAATGATTTATAAAACCTTAAACTGTAATATGATCGACTAAATCTATTTCCCTTTAAATATGAAAAAAATGTGATATTTCCAAAATAATTTTACTCATGTATAGTTTTGGTTAGTCTTAAAATTAATTGTTGTTATTGATTGGCAAATATTATTGGTGGCAGATGTTCAATATGAAATATGATCAAACGTGTAGATAACTGTAATAGAACTTGTAACATAAGAGTTGTGTGGTGTTTATGATACTTGTAAATTAATACAATATATCTATCATAAAGCATAATTCCCTGGTTGTGTCCTATGTATATGACGCTCACACAAAGATAAATCAGCCCTCTAGAAACATCCCACCTCACCCCGTTCCACCCAGATATAGTAATTGGTAGGCCCTGATCTCCACACCCTCTTCTCAAAGTCCCCCCCCCCCCCCCCCGACCAAGAAATACCCGTTAATCACACTAGTATTTACATATACTAACTCTAACTCTCTTTGGATTCCTGTCCAAACTGCGCCCTCCATACCCTAGGCTTTTAACCTACCAGAAGAGCACCATGTTATAATAAACTGTATAACGACATATTTCAGAGAAAGTAAGATTAGTATAGTTTGTTCAAACCCGTACCCCTTGGGCGACGGGTGAAGCTCCGGGGTAGAATTTATCTTCAGCAACCCATAGCTTGTCTGAGAGGCGACTAATGCGATCGGGTGGTCAAGCTCGCTGACTTGGTTGATGCATGTCATCGTATCGCAATTGCTTATAACGATGCTCATGATGTTAATCGCTGGATTATCTGGTCAAGACAGGATTATTTACAGACCGCCGTCATATGGCTGGAATATTGCTGAGTGCGGCGTTTAACAAACAAACAAATAAACAAACATGGACCCCGTTCTTCATATCATCAGGCCCAGCTCTTAGGCCTGCACGCGTCATTAGAGGTTATCTCTCGAATACCAGACGCCGCTTCGTCAGTTTCCGACGCTAGCCTCCGGAAAAAATACATGACGTCACAGAATATTTCAAATTCTCGTTCACAGGCTCATGTGAAGTGTTATATCAAACAGAGGAATGAGAAGGAAAGAGAATATAATTAAACCGACAATGATAATCATAATATTATTTTTTACATTATTTCTGGCTTTACAGTTTTATAAAATATATTATGTTAATAAAATTCAAACCAACCGCCAAGTCCGACCTTTTAAGTTCTTTACTCCCTGTTCACAGTCAACAGTTCATGTGGTCATTTTCAATTGAATATCCATGGCAAGCAAATTAGCGAGTCCTTTTTTATTTTTCGAAACATGGCGCACTTTTTCAAACACTACAGTAAACGAAATATATTACTGAAAACCCGTTTGACTATAGTTCATCAGTCGTGGCTTTCATTTGTGGGCGATTGTTAACTTGTTTCGAGTAGTATACTATTAAACTCTTTCTCTTCATAAGTAATAAAACAATGTGTCAATCGGCATGGATACTTACTAAACTAAGCGGCAAAAGAAAGTATAGGTTGGCAATTTGTTATTTTCCTAAAAACAGCGATAACTAGTGGAAAGTGGGTATTGTGAATATGACTGCCCAGGAACAGGTACCAAAAAACACCTCACCCGAACGCGCCACCTTTGACGGCGCTCGTGCGGTGACAAAAAAATGGTGAAACAGGTTTCCCGCCTATGGCATAAACTGCACGTGCATGTTAGCTGTATAAATGCGTTCGTCTGCAGGGTATAACCACACGTGATGAAAGCACACAAAAGAAATGCCACGACTGTCACAGGAGAGAGAGAGAGAGAGAGAGAGAGAGAGAGAGAGAGAGAGAGAGAGAGAGAGAGAGAGAGAGCCATCGGTATGGCCGAAATGGGGGCAACACAGGTCCAAATTGCCAGAAGGTTTGGTTGTACACCATTGACAGTAGCCAGGCTGATTCAACGGTACAGGCAGACAGGGAGGACACAGGACATGACTAGATCCGGACGACCCCGAATGACAACACCACTGGAAGACGGTCAGATACGGCTCTTTCACCTGCGAAAAAGATTCGCAACGGCGACGGCGACGACAGCAACAGCGTTGAGACATCCCATTAGCCAACGTACAGTACTACGACGACTTCGTGCTGCTGGAAGGTTCGATGCTGGCAAGTGAGAAATTGGCGTCGAGTGCTGTTTACTGATGAAAGTCGTTTAACTTGTTTCGAAATGACGGCAGAGAATGAGTTTATCGACGCAGCGGGGAACGTTTGGCTCCGGCGTGTATTCGAGAGGTCCATTCATTCGGCGGGTGAGGTGTCTTGGCGTGGGGCAGTATTTGTGGAGATCAGAAGACTGATTTGGTGATTATACAGGGAAACCTGAACGATTCGCAGTACAGAGACAAATTGTTGCAGCCAGTTGTGCGTTCGTTCTTACAAAACCAACAGCAGGAGGCATTGTTTCAACACGACAATGCCAAGCCCAATACTGCAAGACTCTTTCTAAACCAGCAGAACCAGCAGAACGTTGACGTTTTGCCCTGGCCTGCCCACTCACCCGATATGAACCCTATTGAACAACTGTGGGATCATCTTGATAGACAGATTAGAGCACGCCATCAGCCTCTCGTCAACAGACAAGAATTGCAGCAGGCCCTGAGAGACTAGTGGCAACGTATTCCAGTCGACGTCATCAGAAGACTGACGTGTTCGATAAGGCGGCGTATCACAGCATGCATTGAGGCAGCTGGACGTCATACACACTTTCGCCATCTTGGATCGAAAACGAGGCTTGGAGAGCATAGCTCCATGCAGTGTGAGTCGCATCAGCTCATAGAAAACAGACAGCATGTTGTGCATTTCACTGATGGACATTTCAAACACCTGTATCCTCTGTATCTAATACAGAAGATATTTCACATTTAATCATGAGGTCCAACTAAAATATGCCTGTAATACACTGGAATTAGCATTTTGCTGTCAGGATGCCGGAAGTGAATCGAAAGGTGCATTTCGAGATACGTATTTCAGAAATAGATTGTTTTATCATAACCTCGTCGGCATATAGGTACAATGTGACAGTACATTCAATGACAGAAGTTTTGTATCGCTAATGAACCGCATAACATGAAACAAGTCAGTGTACTTTTGCAAATTTGCTCAGTCAATGCGTGGCTTGGCGAACTCGAGATAGTCGACCACGTTTATTTCACGTTTCATAGGGGTGTTTGCTGCACAACGCACTATCGTTTTGCCATGAGTCCAGTTAACAAAAGGCACTTTTTCTGCTATGATTTTCATCTTAACATACTACGATGTAAATGAAATAAGTTCACA